TACACGAAGCTTGGTAGTTGAGGAATCTACTTTGACAATAGCATGGTGAGGTAAGTAAAATTGTTTATTATCACTATTTGGAGGAGGGTTAACAGGTTCCATGTGACTAGATGACAATAAATCATGTATGGCTTTACTATACTCTGCTTTAACTTCAGGCTGACTTTCTAATTTTCTTTCAAGTGATAGGAATCTATTGCGGGCGCAAAATGATGAGTCACCAAGAGGGGGATGATTTTCTTTTATGGGTAGCCTAACAATGTAGCGTCCATCTGAATCCCTAGAGACCGTGTTTAGAAAGTGATTTTCACAAATTTCTTGTTCAGATGTTACATGAAGTTTGACGGGAGGTTCCTCTAAAGTCCAAAATTTCTGCAGAGAATTGTGCAAATCAATATCTTGAGTACTTAATAAAGAAATATTACCCTTGCATTGAGGGGATGTTTTATGAGGGACTACAGCAGGAAGAGTTGGGGCAGATCCTATGATAAGATATCCAAATACAGAATTCATGGCAGCAGGAAGATCCTTGTTAATGATGATGCGTTCACCAGTGATTACTTTAGCGAATAGATCAGCACCTATGAGCATATCTATCTTACTAGGCAAATGAAAAGTTGGATCAGCCAGGACCAAATGTTTGAAGTATTCTTTAACATTAACTGGAACTTCAGAGTGTGGGAGGTTTGAGGTAATTCTGTCTAGAATAAGGACTGGGTTGTTATTAGCAATCATTTCTCCGCTAAGAGACGATATGTTAACTTTTGACACACCTTTAGATTTAACTTCTACTGAGGATAGGCCATCTATCTTCGAATTACTGGAAAATGTCCGTTTAAGCATAAGCAGGTTAGCAATATTTTCTGTTACGCAGCTTACCATAGATGCGGAGTCAATAACGGCTCGGGCTACAACTGTGTTACCGTTATTAGCTTTCAAGTGTACCAATGCAGTAGCTAGCAATATAGTGGTATTAGGGTTTGAGGAGACAGCTACAAAGGGAGGTTCAGGGTGATCATATGTTTTATTCATTTCCTTGGGCATCGGAGCATTATCTTTAGGCTTTTGATTAAGCTTATCATTAGGGCGATTATTAGTTTGATGTAAGAGGGAGTGATGTTTCAGTTTACAGTGAAAACATTTGACTTACAGTCTTTGACAGAATGAGCGGTACCTAAACAGTTCAAACAGAGGTGGGTTTTCCTCACAAAATTGTATCTTTCCTGTACGGACAAATCTTTTAACTCTGAACATTGGTAAATGTTGTGATCACTTTTACTACAAAATGTGCATGTGGCGTTTGAGTCTCTGAAAGCTAGTAAAGTAGTGCGGTTTGGTGTAGACTTATGTAGGCCTATCTGAGAGGAGTGAGGGCTGGACCTCTTACTATTTTGAGCGAAACCTACATTGCTATTGCTTGAAGTAGTTCTAGGGAACTGAGAGTTTGAGAGGTTAGCAGCTTCTAAGTAAGCACATTCATTTTCTAAAAATGTTATTACTTCACCTACGGTTGGAAGGTCTTGAGAATTTAGACGTAAGCTTTCAAACTTTTTACGAATGTCTGCGTGTAATTTCCTTAGTAACATGGCTGAGAGCAAGATATTATCCTTGGCTATGTCATGATTGAGTGCAATGAGTGCTTGGGCATTTTCGTTATATTGAGAAATGAACGAGCGAATGTTCTTGAGTCACTTAGGTTAGGTAAGTCTATTATGTTGTTGAGGTGTATACTTATGATTTTCCTACTGTTTTGATACCGTTTTTGAAGAAGATCCCATGCTACATCATAGTTTTCAGCAGTGATTGGTAAATTCTTTATAAGATTGAAAGGTTCTCCCTGAAGCGTAGAAAGCAGATATTGAAATCGCTCAACTTTAGATATGTTTTCATTATCATGAACAGATACTTGAAACAGGCTTACATAAGACAACCATTGTTCTGGTGAACCATTGAAAGTTTTGAGAGATAGAGGAGGGAGTTTTAGAGAGTGGCTATCTTGGTTTGAGGAAGAGCTACTAGGCCTATGGGGTAGGCTACTTGATGGAGTATTTGGTATTGAGTCAGTGTTTAGAACAGGCCTATTACTTATAGGATCTTGAGATAGGTGTTTCTTCGTGAGAGTTTGAATTCCTACATATAAGTCAGATATAGTATCTTGTAATTGAAAGAGTGTATCTTCTTCATAATCATCGGGAAGCGTGTCACTATTGAATAGTTTCTCAATGGAGGTTTCAAATTCTGAGTATTTTCTAAGTGTTTCTGAACCTAAAAGTTTCAACTTATTTATTTGTTCTTGGGACAAATCAGGTAATAAATCTAAAGCTTGGATGTTAGTTTGGCTCAATTCGCAATTGAGTTTAATTGCCTGGAGAGGGTGGTGAATTTCATTTTTTTTGTTGTAAATATAAAAACAATTATTCTGAGTATTCAGAGAGAGAGATTAGAGATTGTCATTATTTTCTGCAATAGGAGACACAGATAACAGATGGCATTGTTACATTAGCGCTATTAGTGGTTGCTATGAGCATTACAAAATACCAAATTGTACAGTTTGATACAAATTGAAATGTCAATTAATAACTTACAACAAAAACAATATGCATAAAATATAGAGGAATCAAAGTCCTTTAGATATTGACCTTTTAGATCTACAGTAGTCTTGGTAGTCTTTTTACTTCTTAGTGATGAGAAAGGAGTGAGGAGTTCATTTTAAGGTTTCAAGTTGGAGTTGGAGTAGAACTAATTGTGACTTATAGTTACCAAAAGAGCTGAATTTCAGATGATCTGCGGCCGAAGGGCCATGTAGAATTTCGGTAGCGTGTGTAGTGGACTGTATTTATAAGATAAGCGGAGTTTGATTCTTCAAATTAGAACACTGAGATACAATTAACAAATAGTTTATATTAACAAATAAACTTTCAATGATTTTACAGAACTTTAAAGAGAGATTACAAAAGAGAGAGGGATCTTCATCTTGATGTGTTTGTTTTCAACTAACAAAATTACTAATAAATTATTTCATTGTTAAATCACATATGTTGTTTTAAACATTAAAACAAATTAAAAACCAATGCCATCTGTATTTATTTTTAGTTGATAGAAAGCATTATTATAACAAAGTTAATTATACTGAATATTACAGAACACTAACAGAAGAAAATGCATTCAAATTCATTAAATTCCATACGTTTGAAACACCTCTGTAATGTCATTTTCACATCCTCAGCTAGTTACTAAGGTATTATGATCAAATATTGTATATATGTCTGCAAGTAGTACAATTGAAGAGATGTGCCACATTATGTCGCTGTCATGGCTGTTGACAGTCTCATCAGTTATCTCTGATGTGACAGCTCATCTTGACCCCTGACCTGACATCACACGTATATCATCTCGAACTTGATGGGAACCTTTCTCACCACATTCTGAAATAGTATGAGGGTCTTTTACTTTGTATAGAAATATACAAACTGTAAGTAGATAAGCAGTGTAATTATTTGGCACAAATGTGCAAATTATTGTATAGAAATATTTATTTTACAAAACTTTAATGCTAAGCAAATTTAGATCGTAGCAAACGCTTATTGATCAATTTGTAATGAGAATCGCAAAGACCACGCGCAGGCTGGAATACGATAAGAATATTTCAGCTGTTGAAAAAGAATTGTTAACCTAACGTTTTATTGAGAGAAGAAAAATTTAACACGAACACAAAAAAACTTAATACTAGTATATAAATAGGTGTATCAAATAGAGATACATCAGAATTACGCAAAAGAGTGTAACTCCGAACAATTTGAATTTAAATATTTATTAAGGGTCTTGGCTTTATGTTAGGTGAAATGTAAGCTGAAAACCATAAAAACTAACAACCAACAACTAATACATGAGTTTATTACGTCTATGTGTGTTTATCATAATATCGTTTGTATGTATTAAATATCATAATTTTAAACCATAGAATCCTTTAAAGAATACTCTTTTACACTGTGCTGTGGCAGTTGGGTTAAGTTAGATTAGTTCAGTTTGCCTTTCTTTAGATTATGATAGGTCTGATAAAAAATAAGGAAACACTTATACAAACAAACGTTGGTCAGTTAAAATATGGTTTATAATTTGTTATTGAGATTAATTTACAAAAGATATTTTGTACAGGAACGATGGATTTACACCCTATCGATAAAATTGTTGGTAATCCACTAAATCTTTTTACAAATACTTCGGTTAGTTAATGGACAAGAAGTTATGATTGAAGTTGTTAACTGAGATTTGGTGGATTTGCTCATACAAATATCATTGTGTTCACCAGTGACACCGGTAAGTGCGGGTGGAATCGCCCATTGTTGCGCTTACGTTCACTTATCCCGTTACGTTCAGAATAAGCGTGCTACTAGTTATAAGTGAAAGAAAATAGAACATGTATATTATTTTTGGTAAAGTAGTTCCGTAGCGAAGTCACAACTTCAACGGGTTTATAGCTTTAAAAACCCAAAATTATGTCAGGTGAGGCCAACCGGCAACGGCTAATGTTCTATATATTTACATCTCTACTTTTTAAATTTATTTTTTATAAAAAGTTTAAAATAGTCAGGTAGTTGAACCAAGCTGTTTTGCTAATGGTTGAACAGTAATTAACAGACCAGTTTGATTGATTGATTAATAGGATATTTTTATTTACTTTTGTAACTTTTATTGGTAAAATTTAAGTGAAATCAACAAATACGTTTTTACATATTTATTTTTTAAATTTATTTTTTTACGAAAAGTCCAAAAGTAACAAAAAAGTAAGTAAAAGTAAGTAAGTTGTTATTGTTTAAACTGCCATGTTGCTTGTGCAGACTGTTTTTCTAATGCCAGAACAGCAATTAACATGACAGTTTGATTGGTTGATTAGTTTTATTAATTGTCTCTAACAACCAATAGGAACACACAAGTGTTTGCAAATTGGTAAAAACGTTTAACCTAAAATTTTAAACATTTACTACTGTACAAGTCTTGGAGTCACCAACCACAAATGATTCGTTTGGTTCTAGTTTCTCCCTTCATTGTGATCTTGGTAAATATTATATCCATATATTTAAGTTTCCTATATTTAGAGAAAGAGAAAAATCTTGTTCTTAGTAGATTAAAAGTGAAAAAATGAAAACTTTTTACTGTTAATGAAATAGCTTGGGTTGAATTTAAATCATTCCTACCTATCCATAACTTTTCTTATGTCAATGATTTATGTGTTAATATTTTTAATTAATATTTATTTATATTTAATTAATGTTTTTTAAGACACTCCATTATCTTGTAATTTAAATTTTGATACAGATTTAGATAGATTATGGCTTACCTTACCCAACATCAGATGAAACCTAAGCAGATTTGTAACCCCACCAACGCTGACCCTTCATTTTTCCCTATTCTTGGCTTCTTTAGGTGTTGTTCAAGTGTTTCAATATCATTTAGCACTTTAGTTCTTATATCAGCCTCGGACCACCAAGCTGGATCTGCAATGTTTGTCCATATTTTAATAATGGAAGTAGTATTCTACCTCCATACATGTCTTGTCCATCTCAGCCTTATAGTTTCAGTCTGAGCTAAAATATCTGGGTATATATATTCTGATTTTCTGATTTTCCAGCCTTCTTAATCTTTTACCAGACTAGATATTTTTCATGGTTCTTTGTTTTTAAGTAATCAGTTTCTTCCTACAACCCTTGATTGTCGATTAATCCTCAAATTTATGTTCGATACAGTTGTACGGCGTGAATTATTGGATGGTATAATTTATATTAGTAGTTTTGACTGGAATAACTTAAGTATGGACCAGTAAAATGTAAAGCCAAAACATTTTTTCAGATTTAATTTTCTTCTTTACTACAGCGTGTCTAATTATTTCACCAAGCTAGTTAACTCATCATCAAAGTTCAAACTAAAAACTCTACACTCTAAGGTTCTCTGATCAATTTATTCATCTTGGTTGGAAGACCTTCATGTATTTAGTTTTTTTTTGGTTATTTTATTTTGTCTGACCTTGTGCCAGCTTCTTTATCAGGATCCTTTATAGGGACATTAAACCATTCTCTTCAAACATCACCACATCATCAGCAAACGCAAGAACACTATTTTCACAGTAAATATAAATTTGAATGATTTTTAGTTTTTATTAAGGCGTCATAATTGAGATGGACATGCAAACAAAATAAACATGGTTAAATGCACAAAAGTGTTGTTTTCTTATTTGTTTTCTCTAGCAGTTTTACTGATGCCATATTATAACCGTCAGGGTGCTTCAACATTAGAGAGAGTAGCCACCCCCTGGATAAAATATATAAAAAAATAGTTGAATAATGATAATTTCTAATGAAACTGCACACGTGATTCACCTCTATTATAGTCATGGTAAGTAATACATTTACAAAGAGTACAACAGTCGTTCAGAACCGGTGTTCCGGTACCGGAACATTTGGTATACTAGAGACTTTCTTATTTGTTAGGGTTTCTACGAAGCCAAAGGTGCACCAAATGAACTTTCACTCAAGAATGACGAGACAAGTCCTCCCTATCGACCAATTGGTAAGTAACTAAACTATTTTAGACATAACTCTACTTTAAGAAAATATTTGAGCATACGATTTTCCTATTAAGAGTTTTCATCGCAGTGACCGTAAGAATAGCGCAAGATCATCAGGCCTTTACGGTGAATAACATCAAAGGCAGCCAAACACCTAATGCAAAATCTAACTCTAACGATAACTTTTCCTGATTCCCTCAACATTCTAGACAAAAACCACTAAAAAACATTCGCGAAAGTACAATAAAGCTAAAATAATATGCAGACAATATGTTAATATAAATTAAATGAACATCTCCTAAAGAAGAAGATTATACAATTCCCAGTGTCTGCAATGTAGTTCTGGTCCGCAATTGCCTGCTTTAATGATTTGTCCACAACGTTCTATGTCCGCAATCGCCCGGACACCAACTGAAGGGCTGAAAATGCCAACACCCCCCAGTCCAAGGAGAAAGACGGATTTCCTTCTGTGACACACACACACACACACACACACCCCCCCACACACACACCCCCCCCACACACACACACACACGCACACAAACACACACAAACACACGCACATATACACAAGAACACATACACAACAAATCTTCGGGTTCAGGGCTACTCAAACCGTATATTTACACCCAAAACTCTAACACGAAAGTTTTAAAGAAAACAATACTTTTTCCATATACTATGTAAATGGAGGGAAAGTAAAAATGTGAGAGCTCACCTCGTGCGGCCTTTATAAAAACATATAGGTAGCGCATGAGTTTATCAGTTTAAGTGATATTGATGACAATAAATCATTATATTGTATTGTGGTTTCAGAAGGAACAAGTTATTTGCAATCTGTTGATCGTCTTGTGGAACTTTCTAATGGGTCTGTCCTGTTTGCCCTGAAATTATTTGTAAATCATCCTGTGGCTGGGGCAATTGTGATTGCACGAGCTGTGGCTTACAAAGTAGAAAAAGGTGAGGAAGCTTTCGGTAGCGCAGCACTAAAAACTGTCAGTTACGTAGCAGAAAAAGTTGAGGCAGCTGCCAAATCCAGATTCCAAAATGAGGTAAACTAGGCATTATTTTCGTAAAAACAAGCAGATGAATTGAATAGTACCTTTTAGTGGGAAAGACCTATGGCATTAAATTGTGTTTAACCTATTAAATGTGCTTATTATTTCAGCCCTTGTCTTTATTGCACATCAGTATACAGTATTTTCAGGTGTGCCGACTGTGGCTGTATTATGTCAAGAGCTTCAATTGCTTTCCTAACCAACGTGATGTGATTGTGATAATCCAACTGGGGCTGATATAGCCTTATCACTCTAATTATATCTTTTCTATATATTGTAAGTCCCATGCCTCCCCTGAAGTAAAGTTTCACTCACTTGGCTGTATTTGAGAGGTAAGAGGGTAAAATAGACACAAGACTGCTAAGGTACTATTGAACCTGAAATTTGTATCAAAAGAAAATTTCTAAAAGCTACTACACAGAGTACATTTACTTCTATGTATACATACAACAAAGTCGTGTTACACCCAGGTTACACCACTTATAACTCAAGAACGGCTTGACCGATTTTAATGATTTTTGATTCGTCGGATTTGTCTTTGTCCCAATTAACAAATACTAGCTCCGGCCTGTAGTGTAGTGGGGTCTTGGTCCTACACGGAATTAATAGGCATATTTAGTTTTGTAATTTACCTTAGGGTTTAGCTCCACAGGCCTGTTAAGTTTGTATGTTAACCTTATGGAGCTATTGGAATAATCTAAATAAACAAATATATTAATTGAAGTAAGCTGTAAATACAATAATTTGACAGTTCAAGGAGCAGAGGTTAGGAGGTACAGTTTCTGCTCCCAAGATTCTTTTTGGTTGGTTGCAATAACGTTAATTATTATATTTACCTGAGAAAATGCAGAGTAAAAAACCTGATGTTGTTCAGTTGTTATTTTTGTTTCTCTTTACTGTGAATAATAATTACATCCTTCAATGAAAATCTTAATAAGGTTAATAACCCTTAATAGGTGTGGTCAGTACAATACCAAAGTACCGTTTTTTACTTATCAAAAATAAACTTGCAATTTAAATAATCAAACGGATTTTCATACATAAAATACACTGTGATGCTTTATAAATCATTAAAAAACAACTATAAAATCTGAAAAGGCTTACAAACTTTTCAAAAGGTGGTATTTTACATTTTAAGGAATCTTTATATTTAGACCTCTGCTTTTACAGTCAACACCTTTATGATAAAAAAAAACATATTTTCCTTATATATTGAAAACGGGGGTTTTCAAATCTCTTAGAAGCAAGGAGGCAACCTTCGTTGAGTATTTTAATGACATGCATAATACAGTAGTAATTTGTAGGCAATTTTATTCTATTCAAGTATAATATATACTATGATGCTTCATAAATCAATAAACACAAACATAACATATGAAATCGTTTTGTGACCTTTCGTTTTAAAGCATAATATATGGTGGTATATTACGTATTAGGAAGTTTCATAGTAAGTGCTCTATTTCTACATCCAACAGCTTTAAATGACTTTAATGAGTATTTTATCATTCCGGCGTTTATGCTTAGTTTTTCAGCCATAATGTGGAGATCTTTTATTTTTACCCCCATTCTCAAAAATTAATTGTAGGCCCCTATAACCTCAAAAGGCAATAGCATTAATTTCCATGTAATTATATCGGTTTACTACTGAGTTTTTACACGTTTAATTAATTTTGTTTTTCAGTAGGATTCTTATCAAAATATCAGTAGAAATAACAAACCAAACTAATTATCACTCATAAAGTAGAAAATAAATATAAAACTAATCATAATAATCATAAAAATAATAGAAAATAATCATAAAGTAGAAAACTGATACACAGTGATTAAAACATATTTTAGCAACCTAAAACGTCTAGGTTGCTAAAAGTATTTTATATTTATTCTAATTCTTAAAATATTAATCTAATTCTGTTAATTTATAGTTATTGAAGGGAAAAATAATCGAAAGGGTTATCTAACAGTCAGACATTAAATGTATCTGTTTGTACAAGACTGAATGTTTGCCGAGGAGAGCTGCTACAGTGTTTACTTTTATGAGGAAGAGTTTCAATCTCTGCATTTTCTTCACCAAGGGGAATTATGTACATGGGTTAAATAGTTTCTAAAGGAAAGAAAAAAAAGATATATGAGTACGAATCTGTTACAAATATTAAAACTGTAATTTTAATATTTCCATGCGGTATGAAAATTAAAACCTTTGATTATGGAATAAACATCTTATTCCAATTTTTATGTTAACCCTGCAGCCAGTTTTAGAATAAAATGGTTAAATTGAGTCACCGACAGAGTGCACTTAAATTACTAATTTAAGTTCATATTAATACTCTTAGCTTTTAACATAGTGAACTTGGATGGATGATCTGTTGGATGTAAATACATTTTTATGTCACATAAGATATTATGCTTCCAGAGTATCTGTCAGTGGTGTTTTCAAGTATGTTTTCATTGAATAAGACATTCGTCGGTTAATCTAACTTCACCATATGACAGTCAATGGTACAACATATTTTAAAATGGGATATGCAAAACACTTACAACTTTCCAATTTTCTTTAATGTTTTTAAATAAATTCAACCCGATATAATGTTTCATGTGTTTGAGGGATGAAATGTCTGACTCGATGATAAATCTAGTTTGAGTCGTCTGAGTATATACAGCCCCAGATGTCGGTCTGCAGTAGTTACAGATAACACAATGTAGACATGATGTAATCGCTTGTAATAATCCTGGTGTAACATATGACAGACTAAGTTGACTGGCTTCAACCTACAGATAGATGTACATTGGTAGCCGGCTGAGACACTATTAATAAATTGCACTACTCACTTAAGCATAAGTTTTTACAAATACTTAGGTATGTCTATATATAAACAGTATGTCATTAATTAGTGTTTACTTACAAGAACACTTTTGTTTGGTTACCATTTCAAAGTGGACAAAAATATTTAGAAAACAATATCCAATCTATATAAATAAAATTAAAGTTTTGTCTGTACATTGCTTAGAATCATGCAGTTTTTGGTTATTTTTACGTTTCATAGCCTAAGAAAGCCGAAACGAGTCTTATCTCAATTTCTGTCTGTATGTCTGTTTGTCTGTTTGTCTGTCCATTCTGTGACTTCGTCTGTAACGCCAAAATGTCATTTTACGCGGCATACTCCTTGAAAACTAGAGTACAGATCAAGATTCCAATTATTTTTCTGTATTCACTGGATTGGCGAGAGTGTCTTTGGCTATTAAAATATGGCCTAACTACTTTTGAAAAAATATAACAAACCATCGAAAACCCAATTTTGTTAAAATTTTCTCAAATTTTCTCCCAATGTTTACTATTACATTTTATGAAATAACGATCAGCTGTTTGGATTAGTTCTCATTTCTAGCTGTCACTGATATGTTTACATTAAATACCGTTTACAAATACCGCAACCATTTCCTATCAAGTTTTGTTAGCACATCCAAACCAAGTTAGATTAAACCCGTTGTGCCTAACTTAACCGGTTTAATCAATCGCAAGTGCAAAGATTGTTCTTGAGTTTTTATAACCGGGGAAAATACTGAGAATCAGTCCTGGGAAACTTACATTTTTTTAATCATCGTCACCAATAGTTTACAAAAAAGGTTTCCACTCATTGACGGCGCTTCAAAGACAGTTGTGTAAAGTGCAAAGTAAAAAATCAACTGCAGTGGGTGATCGTGGATGTTGCTGTGATCTTGGAAGATCTTTCTAATTTCACTGTGATCGTAACATATGTTTAACTTACAGATGTAGCTAAAATCGCAACTCGCTTTTTCCAATGTGTCACTTTCGGTTTTTTCTTACATACATTTCGACAACGACATCGGTACTTTTTCTACTTAGGAAGTAAAACTACAAACGTCCAAAACCCCAGATTTGTGCGTTTTTTGTCACATTTCCTCCGAATGTTTGCTAGATATGTGTACCGATTATACTTTAGAGATTACGTAATCTTTTAAAAAAGAAACCTTTGTTTGGATAAAGGTGGTTTCTTCAAACTGTCATTAATATATTAACATTAAAAGTTGCTTACAAATAAATGGGAAATAACTATAATTTTCGAAAACTTAAAAAATTTAAAACCAAGGGAGATTAATAGCTTCGGTACTGCACCACATCAAGTGAAAGTTTTTTTGAGCAAACCATAGTGAGTTTTTAAAGCTTTTCGTTGTTAACGTTACATGTTTTGTGGCCTGTGTATTTATTTATTTATATATTTTCCAACGGATTAACACCTATAATACAGTTTGATTAGAAGGACAGTTTGAATTGGTCGTAATCGTAAGTACTAGCCTATAGTTCTTTTCTTAAATGTAAACGTTGGTTTTTTGTACTGCTACTTTTCCTTAGAACTGGTGGTAGCAGCAAGAATCATTTTTGCGTACAAACACATCACTATTTACAACTATAGTTATCGTTAGTGCTGTACCTTATTTCTTATTAAATTTAATTGATGTCTTACTGTACAATTTTATTGCGTTTTCTGTCTGGACTCCAAAATGTTACTTTATGCTATGAAAATGATAATACATTAGTGAACGATTTATTTAGCAAACCATCATGAATTTTTAAAGCTTGGCGTTGTTAACGTATAAATGTTTTGTGGGCTGTGTATTTATTTAATTATTTATATATTTGCCAACGGATTTACACCAATTTTACAGTTTGATTAGGCCTAAAAACGATTATTATAAAATTTGATGACACTATCAAAACTTTCAAATAATTGTAATTTGCTTTGGTTAAAGCGTAGTAAATCCCCTAATTCATTTCTGTATTTGTGTGTGTAAGCCTGTTGGTAACGCATTAATGTCCTTATTTCTCAGTGTTTCGGGAAAAAAGAGCACCTTTGTTAATGCAAATTTCAACCCGAATTGTAAAGTGAAATTGAATTGAATTGTAAAATAAAAGATAGAAAATATCTAGTACATGTTTATTGAAAGTAGCAGTGGACTGTAATAATTATAAGTTTGTTTTTAAAAATATGTATAAACAAACAAAACATATGATTTGAATCACACATTGATAAATATAGTCTTT